TGGCAATGGAAAGAGCTGCGACATTGAGCCTAGCTTTAAACGCTAAAGTACGAATGATCCGTAGCGCTCCGCTGATTTCAACGAGGGCCGCACGTTGCACGCGCCTAGCTGCCTAACAAGTGTAGACTAGTTTCTAGTGAACTCCCCCGGATAATGGCCCCATATTACATGATGGGCTCAATTATGGTTTCTTATAGCCAATAAATTACATTTTAAGAGATGCCCACATCTTCCCCTCAATACTTGGCTTGCGCGAAAACTTCTTATGCAGAATCACGCGCAAGAACTTGACTTCTCAGAGAGCACAAATGAAAGGCATCTATCGGAGGATGCTGGGTACAAGGCACTTTATATCTACTAGTAAATTATAAGAGCTCAACCTTTTATCAGGACAACGGAAACTCGATGTTGCTTATTATCGGCGATTTCTCTTTTGGTCGCTCTCTCCATACAAGCTTCTAGTTGCCGCAACAAAAGTTTCCGTGTCTGAACATCGACCAAGTAAACACCATCAATCAGCGCAAAGGCTTAAGTATCAAGCGTTGAGATAAAAATACGCAGTCACTTGGTGTACAATTTTTTTTTTCACTTCAATTGCTTTTAACATATTGCTGTTTACTTTATATTCTTTTTTCAAATTAGCACAAGCATTAGTATTGCGCACGAGCCAAAAGGCCAACGATATACAAAGTGCTCTACATATGTACGTATGTACGTATGTACATAGAAAAAATAGTGGACGTAGTACGGCGATCAGTGTTGCCACACATAAGCATTTCCTAACAAAACTGGTAAGTTATTTTCCATTTGGTAGGTTGGTAGGCTAGGTTGGATGTTGGTAGGTTTCGTGACAATGAGTAAGAGTTATGTACTCGCGAAAAATAGAAAATATATATGTATCTCCTAACATTTTAGCAACCTTATTTACACGAATATTTCACCGGTGCGTTCGTATAATAGCGTTCGCAAACATGTAAAAATACCTGATTCGTAAGTGCAAACGAATACACTTATTATTGCCAATATGAATGAACATGAATATCCATATATACTTTATGACGTACTTAGGCCCAGATTCCAGAAAAGTATGCCAATGGGCTCGTACCCAGCCATATTCCAGAGGAAGGTATTTGCAATAGAAGTCTGTGTTCGCAAAACGTCTTCGGTTAAGGACAAATGTTAAAGGCCTTATACGCTTTTAGAACGGCATCAAGGCTTGTGGACTCTTGAACCACCTGAGAGCCCACAACAGTGTAGCGCTGTGCTGGTTTCCGGGACATGAAGGATTTAAAGGCAACGAAAAGGCTGACTGTCTCGCAATGCATGGAGCCGAAATGCCCTTGCATGGTTCCGAGCCATTCTGCGGCACATCTAATGGATACACTGCACAACTACTTAGAAGCTGGGAAGAATCTCAGATTGCTGCCCACAGGCGGAAGGCAAAGATACTAAGGCAAGCCACACTGCAAGTTAAGGTACCATTTTAATCAAATGGCGCTTTCTGTAGAGACGGACCGTAGGTTCTGTGGGCTGGTTGAGGAAACTCCAGAATATATTCTATGAGGTACCGATGAAACATCAATCGTCGGCTGATACACCTTGGAGAACGATTGTCTTCTCCATCTAAAATTTGGAATATGGCACTGTCCAAAGTGCTTAGATTTGCGAATAGCCTAAGGTTGCAGTGATTACAATTTAGGTCGCGTACGTCTATACAGTAAAATGAATTGTTATACGTAGTTAATTTTGTTCTTATTTAACCAGCTTTTAGTTTTACTAAAAGTTAAGTTATCTATATTTTTAATAAATTTGACATTGAAAAAAATATTCAAGACTCAACAAAATTTTTTGTAGGTTTTGGTTGATTTTGATAGGAAGTTTTGCTAGGAAAAAAATGTGTCTGTGGCAACACTGACGGCGATGGTTACGCAACGGCACAGCGCACAGCGATAAAAAGAGACAAAAAATTAAAAAAGAGAAAAAAATAAAAATATGAAAATAGCAAAACAAAAACAATTTTACACCTTTGCGCTACCTAATCTTATCAGGCGGGAAGCACAGGCTAGCTGTGATAAGGGTGTTAGATATGTAGTGTAGGCCCGGCCATAAAAATAGTTGGTCAAGTGTTTATAAGATATAAAAACAAAAGCAACAAAATAAAACGCAATTTAAAAGTGGGCGGCGTGGCAGCATTTGCATACCAATATCTACTGTATGGCCAATACTACATACATATGTATGTATGTATTTAAAACGAAAATGCGAAGGGCATATTTTTGCGATAATCACATATTGTATTTTATTAAGAATTATGGAACTTTTTTTCCAACTCGAATGGCGACTATAAACACTTAAAACTGAATGTTGTTTGATTAAAAAAGTTATTAAAATTTTATTTCCCTAATCGCATGCAAACTTACATACCACATACATATGTACATACGTAGGTGCGGTGAGTGCAAAAATTTCAATTGAGTTTTGTGTCATAAAAAAAAAAACAAGTAATTTTTAGCAAAAAAAAAACGACTTCAATTCTCATTAGCATGGGACCACCTCTGACACACTACCTTTCCGATGCAAAAGGAATTACTGAAATTGGGTGACGTGGTCCAAAGTTATGCGGTAACATACATAAAAAAAAAAAAAATATTCCGACGAACTGATAACCTCCTCCTTTTTTGGAAGTCGGTTAAAAAATACCTCAGGCGATTCGATGATTTTTATCAATCACACGTACAATAAAAATAATAGCGAGGGCATAAAATTTAGTTATGAATTAAAATTTTTCCACTGCCACTCGTTATTTTTTTTTGCATAATCTCTAATTCTTCTTTTGCACAGCGGGTTGCTTATGTAATGTTAAGAAAATTTCTCGCTTGCTTGCCTGCTTTGCGCGTACAAATTGCGTCGCCGTCGACCGCCTCACACACAAAATGACAAACGAAAGCGCCAACGCTACCGATAACGAGTGCGCGCGCTCTACTAAACGTTCGTACGGTTCTTCGCTTTTGTTTGTTTTGTTGGCTTCTTAATCACGAGTTTGCAAACAACAACTAAAAAAGCAGAAAAATTATTGGTTTTTCACCAATGCCAACAAAGCACAGATGTTTGCTATGGCAGAATGGCTGGATTTCCAGTAATAAATATATTTTCCCACGCTATTTATGCACATACATATGTACATCGTTGACATTTGTAAAAACGAGTAAGGCTGCATAAATGAAGTACGTATGTAAAGACGGAAGCTCCACTAGCATGCAGCCGGCTATAACATTAAATGGACGAGTGAGTAGATAGCAGCGCTGCTAGCGGGTATGCAGAAGAGTGTGAGAGCGGCGTACGTGTAGAGCAGAGCTGCGAATAGTGGCAAAGTATAAATTAAACTAAAATAATCTTAATTTGCACAGCTGTAGAAATTTCAATGCAAATAAAAGGATTAAGAAGGTGTCAATAAATTATAATTTCTAACATAATTAAGTTAGCCTTCAATGTTCAATCAACAGAGCGTATAAATGATTCGATTAGAGAGCTCTGTCGCCGATTACAGTGGCAGTGGCTGTGACAGCGACTGCAGCAGAGATGTGTACGCCTCCGACGTGTGAAAATGGCGCTTAATGCAGAGGAAAAGGAAGCAATAAATGGCGGTAAGGCAAGGCGGAAGATGTAAATGGAGAAATGAAAGTGCAATGTTATACAGCAACAACAGCGTATTAGCAGGGCATTCGTTGAATTGAATGTTGGAACTGCAAAAAATTGTCCTACTGTGTACGTGCAGGCGCTGACGGTGACGCTGACGTCGTTGCCTAACAAAAATGCAGAGATGTAAAACGAGAAATGAAATAGGATTAAATAAAAAATAAAAAATAAAAAAATTAAAACAAAATTCAAATTAATTTAGAAACAAAAAAAAAATTAACGAATTAAAATTAAATATGTATGTACATAATATGTATTTATACCTATAACTTGAAAAAAAAAATGTTATCTAACAAGGTTAAATCAAATAAAACTTAAAATATAAGATAAAAAATTAAAAAATATAATATAAAAAATGGAAAAAATAAAATATAAATAACAAAATGAAAAGAAATATATACCATACCCCTGAGAAAAATAACACCAACACATTAGATAAAAAACTAATTACTAAAAATTAATATAAATTTAATTAAAATTCTTTGGTGGGTGCATATATGTATGTATCGCTAATTTTTAACGCTTTTTTTGTGTTGCCTTTTGTTTAATTTTGCAATTTTTCTCTTTTTTCCGTCTTCAAAAGCAAATCCGGGGAGAAAAGTTCGAGAACGCTGCGAGTTAAAAAAAATCTACATAACCAACATAATGCTTTGACGCCGCGCCGTGGCTGCAGCACCCCGCATTGCTGCCGTTCATCACCCCTATGTCATGTGGTCGTGCGCGCGCTCTTTTTCGTCGCCACCAACCACTAACTCGCAGTACTACACTCATCATTCAAGATTTTCATTTAAAACGAAAAGAAAAAAGACCTTTTATGTAAAGTAGATTTGCTGGCTGTCTCGCGCTAAATGCTGACTCTTCTTCTTCTTAAGCCTTTACAATTCTGCTGCGTGTTATGCAAACTTTGCTGCGAACCGCGTGCACTCATTTTATTTGCATTTACTACTTTTACAAAATGCTGGCTTAACTATACATTTTGCAGGCGCTGGTGAAGCGCAAATTACAAAAACAATTAAATACATACATACATACATACGTATGTACAAATGTAGTTTGCCCTCATCAACCGTCGTCGCCCATGTGCTAAGTCCACTGCCACTACACCAGCGTACTTTTGCTGCCGCTGCGACGGCAGTGTTACTTTTATTTCGACTTCCCCTCACTTTACTCTAACTGCCTTTCTTAAAAACGTTTATGTTTTCTTCTTAAAACTTTTACATGATTTCCCATTCACCGCCCCCTTCCCCCATTCACTTTCATCCGCTTAACAACTACAGAAGTACTTATATTAATTTATTACTCACCTGCGCTTCAGGCAGCTTACGCGTTGAAATACGATAGATCGACATTTTCCACGTTCAATTGAAATGTGTCAGCAGCGGCGTGTAAATCTTAACTCTTTCGTTGAGTAGAAAAAAAGAACAAAAAAATCAGTTAAAAGTCCAGTGCAAGGAAATGAACAAAATGTAAGAAAATGCTAGCATTAAACTCTCGTTAAGCGTCCAAAATTAACCAAATACTAATTTTTCTTTGACCAAAACTGTTACGTAGCATACGCGCTTATATTCACAAAATTTTCCAATTTCTTTGCCTCTTTTTTTGTTTTACTTTTATTTAACACAATTATTACAAAACTGTGTTGTGTGCTCTCCGAACTGCAGAATTTTTTCTTTTGTTTGTGTATGCATGTACGAAAGCGGATTTTACACTGCCCTTCAACTGCACGCACACACACACACACACACACATAACAGTTCAAGCCCAGAAGGAATCACACTTGATTTTACCCAAAAAAAAAAAAAAATACTGCATGTGATTTATTGAGCCGAGTGACTGCCTAAACTTACTGCCTAGTGTTGGAACTGTTGGACCGGAGCGACCACACGGTTCGACCAAACGACAACTGACTAGGTGAAAGAACAAACTGTGGGCAATGGATTCGGCTTTTTCCACTGATACCGCTCACTACGCTGGCTGCTAATGTCGCACTAATGTGTAGTGTGTATGTGGGTGTTCGACATTGCCAGACCACATTTTGTTTTCGATCTTAAAATGCAACAGTGTGTCTTAAATTTGACAGTTCTCTCCCTTTCTCATGACAAATCAGCTGTTTTCATCAAAGATAACTCTGGATGCGAAATTCTTGTTCTCATGAGAGCGAACGTTTAAATGTGTGCATTTCTTATAAGGCAAATTAAAATACATACATAGTATGTACACACATATGTATGTATGATTTTTTTTCATTTTCCATTGGGGTCCATTTACTTGCCATGACTAGCCACTAGTCGCATGCCGGACGCATGTGGTGGTGTTGCCAATTAAATGGTGGCATAATTTGTAAGTATATAGTCTGGTAGCAATTCTACGTTTTGAGGAATTTCTGATAAAATATTATGATCGATAAAGCAGTATGCTGATAAGGTAGTCGTTTTGGGCGGAAACGCATTGAATTAGGAAAAATAACTGGCTTGACTGTACTAAGAAACTAAATTTATATAAAATAAATTTAAATAAAATGAATATGAAATAAATATACCCAAAGAACGTAAATCTATAAGAAGCGACCAAACGCTGAATGCATCTGCTTGCATGTTTGCAGCCCCTGCATTGAGATAACTGCTTGTGCATTTAAAGTATAAGTAAAGTATTGATGCATATACTAATAGCCCAGTTATGCATACTTTGCATTTGTGTAGCAGCCATTTTTACGTAAAAATCAAAATCCAACAGAATACTACATGTAAAGTGCTATGCGTTGGGTAACCGCTTACACGCAAAGCCCATTTAACAGATTCCTCTCTCTCACGCAACGCTAAGTATGCATAACTGAGCTCTAAGCTTGTAGTTATGCATTGGGTAAAAGCATAGACAGACGGCAACGTTGATCCGGATTAACGGCGCAGTTGATCTGATCAAAATTGTACCTTGACAGACGGCAGTAATGCAGAGTTACGAGCCGCGAGGTCGCAGGTTCGAGTCCCACGGATAGTAGAATATTCATTTAATTTTTGTTATTCATTCAATTATAAGTTAACATTGACAAATGACATATACATAAGTTCTATATTTTTTAATGTTGTTTTTATGTAGTTAGCTAAAAATTTTAATTAACTAATAATAAAATAAAAAATGTGAATTAAAATAAAAAAAGAAAAATAAAAAATAAAATAAAATAGGTATATAAATCAAATAAAATTAAAAAATAAAAGAAATAATAAAAAACTAAATTTTTTTGGCAACCGCTCCAACCGATGATCAAATTTATTATAATTTTGGCGATTCCTTTCAACACAAATAAAATTAACGAAATTTCGTAAAAAATTGTGTAAAAATACAGCGACTGTTACAAGTTTCTTATGGTTAAATATTTTATAACATTAGTGTATCATTTTCATTGAACAATAATTTTCTAATAATTTACAATGGTGTAGGTATACAAATTTCTGAGTAAAATTATTGTTACTGGGTTAATTTTTCCACCAGAAGCTTTATTAAATATTTTAGCATTGCATATTTTTAGGATAAAAGCCGTTTGTGGATTGCCGCTCATCGTAGGGGTACACGGAAACCGGAAACGGCTACAGGATGACGCAGAAACATCATTCGTATGCGGACGAGGTGCAGGGTGCATATAATGATTAAAATATCTTTTCTTTTAAATTTTTTCGTTCGCATGACGCATTTTCAAGCGTTTTTTTTATGACAAAATTAAAAATTTCATTTTTTTATTTATTTATTCAAAATTTAGAAATCAATCCGAATATTTCCTTTTCCAAATAAAAACAAGTTAACAATTTTATAAAAAAAAATTTAAGTGAAAACTATTTGCATGTACATATGTATTTGCATAAATTTCTTTATTTTATTGAGGTTATGTATATATGCAATTGCAAACATATTTGATGGTTGAAGCTTTAAATTTTTTCCCAGAATAAAAAAAAATTAATTGTAAGGTAAGGTGAAAAAAATCGAATTCCTTTTTAAACTAGTAAGTATGTGGTAGCTTTTTGACATAATTTTCAATAGAATATCTGCCAAAAAAGCTGCAGGTAACTAGGCGGCTAATTTGTTATTTAACAAAAAATATACCAGAAAATTATTTCAATAGTATTTTTGTGATTTATTATAATTTTGGGGATTCCTTTAAACACAAACAATATTAAAAATATTTCATAAAAGTTTTGATATTTCAGTAAAAGCCTAGCGACTGTTGAAGTTATTTTTGAAGTTTTTATGGTTAACTATTTTATAACATTATAGCCGTCATCGATTCGCCACTTCTCGCTCGCTATGTTTGAGTTCCGGTCGCTTAAAGAAGAATTTTGCATGTGCAAGCATCTACAAAGTTAGCTAGCACTAATAGACGATAGCGAGTTTGGTTATACCTCATTGAGTTCGTTCGTTTCGCCACTCGCTAACTGTTGGCGAATCGATGACGGCTTATATTACACAATTTTCTTTAAGCGAAAATGTACCATAAACCCAAGTGTTTTTCGATGCAAGTAGATATACAAAATTCCAGATTAGAAATTATGGATGCTGGGTTAATTTTGGTTATCAGAACTTTTCTTATTTAGTTTTACATTGCATACTTTCAGGATAAAGGCCGTTGGAGGATTGTCGTAAATAGCGAGTGTACACGGAAACCGGAAACGGCTACAGCGTGCACCTGAAACGCAAATGTCGTAAAATTTATTCGTTTGTGAACAGGGTGCACGCGATGATTATAATTATTAGATTTTTTGTTTGCATGATGTATTTTCGAACGTTTTTATAATCTGCGCAAAATTCAAAATTTAATTTTTTTATTTATTTATGCAAAATTTAAAAAGCGGACCGAATTTTACTCTTGTCTAAATGAAAAAAAAAACAAGAAAATTGTTTAAGCGTAAATTATTATGTATTATAATTTTTCTTAATTTATTTCTTATTTTATGGAGGATATGTATATATTTAATTGTATACATATTTGATGATTTAAATTCTTATTCTTCAAAGAATACAAAAAAAAAATTTTATTAATAGTACAATTTTAAAGTAAATTTTTTAATGAACTTAGGTATATAAGTGTGTTTTTTTTATACATGCTTTTCTTATTTTAATGAAAGTGTGCATGTAATTAATACATATGTGAATAAACTCTCTCAGAATAAAAAAAAAAACTGTTTAATAGTAAAATTTTAAATACAAATTTTTTTGAATCAATTCAAATCAGTTAGATTTTTTTTCTTATTTTAATGAAAGTATCAACATTTGTGAATTTGCGTACATAACTACATATACCGCTACCTAAAGATGAAAAGGTGCCAAGTTCATTTTATTGAAATTATTCAGGAGAAAGGAAAAATCGATGTAGTTTGGCATTATCTGTCTCTGCATCTAAACTAAAATTTGAAGAAAATGGACTTGGCACCTTTTCACCATTAGGTAGCGATATCATGATTTAGAGAAAACTTACATTTTTTCTCGGAGCCTTGAACTTTAAAGCCTCTAAATTTTAAACTTTAACCTTTAAATTTTTTCCTCAGGACTAGAAAATGTTGATTAGGTAGTTATTTAAAAATTGTTTGGTTGTTTTCGAGGAAATTACATTTTGCATTTTTTAATTCTTTAAAAATTTTAATAGACATTTTTTCACTTTAAACTGTAAACTTTAAAAATATTTTTTTCATAGTAAATGTGGTAAATATCGAGCCCTAACCGCCAAAATAACGTAAGCGACATTTTCTTTCAAAATTTTCTTTTTAATGCAGAAATATTCCTAGAGCATCTAGATACATTTTTGCATCAAAAAGAAAATTTTGAAAAAAATGTCGCTTACGTTATTTTGGCGGTTAGGGCTCGATATGTTATGATAGGCAATTAATTAAATATTTGACGGTCAAAAAAAAAAATAAAAAATTCAATACAGTTTCCCTGAACTAAAAGGATTAATCGAAATTTTTTCGAATACATATATGTATGTATATATTGACATTTTCGCATGTATTTAATTTTTTTTAATAAAAAAACTCAACAAACTTGTACTGTTTTTTGATATTATAAAAATATTTTTTCTAGGAGTTAAATTACTAAAAATTTCTGAAATCTTTTGAAATACCATTGAACTAGATTAAATTGTTTGAAATAAATATTTTTTAGCCAAAAATTCGAAAATTTTTAAACACGAATTAAAAAAACATTTTTCCTCAGAACTACAAAGAAAATTTGTTATATTTTCTTTAATTTTGTTCAAAATTTGAAATTTTCATTTGCATCGTTTTTGTTGTAAATTGATCTGTACTTATAAACAATTTTCGAAATAAGTTTACAATGGAAAACATTTTGAATACCTTAAAAAAAAACAATGTCGAAATTTCCCCTCGGAGACTGTATAGAAAAATGTGCATTCGTAAACATTTTTTTTGGCACATATGTAAAAATTTTTTTTTACTGCTCCTGCCAACGTTACTATTTGAAAAATAGTGCATATATACATGTATACGTGAGGATTTTGTAAGATTTATATGTATGTATTTCCCTTTTCTATTGTGATTTTTTTCTTGTATTTTAATTTCATTCCGAAAAACGCGTTTTCCCCCATAAGTATTAGAAATAAGCGTAATTTCCACAGCTGCTTCAGATAAATTTACATTAAAATGAAAATCATTCAAAAGAATTGCATATCCTGTTTGGTTAATGCAGCATCCTTCAAAAATAAATACAAGCAACTGACTCTAAAATTGAGAAAGACAACCGAATACCAGCAGCAGCTGTTTCAAAAACCCGCGCGACCATCTTTGTACAACGATAGTCCAGCAGCTGACCGGGCAGCTTCCTTAAACTGGCCGTACCCAAGCCGCCAGAAAATATACAAGTTTTCTAAGAATGCGGTTCAATTTCAATTAAGGATCTCAGAGATGCTAAAATCTTGAAAAGATCACACAAAAGCTTGAAATTAGCAGCCTTGCAAGCGAGCTTAAGTTTCTCGGCCTTCGATT